CCCCCCCCCCCCCTCCTATTACCGCGCTCCCAAATTTCACCCTCGATGCCCCCCTAGTGTTACTTAGAATTTCTATGCACCCATGCACAGCCATACGCCCGCGATTATTGATAAACTTTGGACTTTGCAGTTAATACTTCGTGTAAGGAACACATAATAGTTTGAAGTAATTAAAAGTAAGTTAAAACAGTCAGATGATGTTAAAACTAGCTTTTGGCCCTTCCAGTGGTAACATTGAAGACAAAGTCGATTGTTATATAGCTTCCGTGAACACCAAACATGATTGACTGACTTGTGTTCATGTGACTTCAGATAAATGCAATGTATCCCGCCCGGGCAACAAGTGAAAAATTCGGTTGCCCGCCCCGACCGGCTACGTACATAAATAAACAAAATGGCGACACAATTAGCTTAGTTGGAAGCTACGATTTTCCAAGTTTGTGTTGAAATAAAGAATGCAAAACAGGATATGCTGCTGAAATCGTTTAAGTAGGTTCTTTTAATTTTAAACTCGTTTACACAATAGAATTTTTGTCACGAAATACAATTGTTTGTATGAATGTTGTTGAATGTTGATTTTTGTTTGTCGCTATATATCAAAACACTTGATGTTTGTTCCCTCGGAAAATAGTTAGTTTTGTTTTCCCTTGAATCTCATTGAATGAACATTGAGACTCTCGGGAGCAGACATTAAGTGTATAATGTACAATGAGTTAACAGAAACGTGTAGCTTTATGCCAGCCTGTGAAAAACAGGACAGAGAATGAGATGCAATAAAAAAATCAACTATTTCCAAATGATCCAATGAAATGACCCACTTTTGACAACTAGCCTATGAGGCAATATTAAGATTACTACTATTCTATATTAAGATTACTTCTATTCTATATTAAGATTACTACTATTCTATATTAAGATTACTTCTATTCTATATTAAGATTACTACTATTCTATATTAAGATTACTTCTATTCTATATTAAGTTGCTTGCAATTGCTGTAATTGAAAGTTACTACTGTTCTGGTAAGTTACTTGCTATTCTATGTTAAGTTACTTCTATTCTATGTTAAGTTACTGCTATTATATGTTAAGATTCTTCTATTCTATGTGCAAGATTACTGCTATTCTATATTAAGATTACTACTATTCTATATTAAGATTACTTCTATTCTATATTAAGATTACTACTATTCTATATTAAGATTACTTCTATTCTATATTAAGATTACTACTATTCTATATTAAGATTACTTCTATTCTATATTAAGATTACTTCTATTCTATATTAAGATTACTACTATTCTATTTTTAATTTTCGGTACAATAAATGGGTGATTCCAGCTACAGACGAAATTTTGATCTAGACAAGAAGATCGAAACCATTACCACAGCTGGAAAGAGAATCTTAAAATGTGTAAAATTGCACAACGTTTAATTTGGTTGCGAATTGTTGTAAAATGAGAAAAATATATGGCCCTGTGAAGTTCGCAAATTTTACATCCGCATTAAGGCGGTTTTCCAGTCCTCGCACGAAGCTCCTCGCAGCTCGCTGCGAGTGCTTGCATCTAATTAAAATTAACTGTTTAGCATTGTGATTGGATGAAAGTACTCATGCATGCACTCGCAGCGAGCTGCGAGGAGCTTCGTGCGTGGACTGGAAATCCGCCTTTACGCTCGTGAAAAATAACCAATTTTGAGCCGAAAGTGGTTATTTTTACCGCGCGTGATACAAATCTATACAAAATTCGCGAACTTCACTAGCTGTGTTGTTGGATTTCGTTGTTCTTGTCTTGATAAAAAATTAGTCTATAGCTGGATTCACCTACTTTATATTTATGATATATTACAATAATTTTCAAGATTTTGAGCTAGAGACCAACTAGAAATCGTAGACTCTTTTATTTATATTCATTTGTATTAGTCAGATTACATAATCAATTATTTACAGTCAATCAATACAATATGTATATATAGAGAATAATACATGTACATGTGTGCGCGGAAACACCAGAAGTGTTGAACATGATATCTCAACAGTGAGCGCAGCGAACGGGCCTTGAAGAAGTACAATAGAACGTAAGATTCAAAACAGCATAATATTAGGTCTAACATTTGTTCTTGATTAAACACCTGGAAAAAAGCCGCAAACGGCCTCGCTAAGGCATCGACAGAAAGCCTGGTGACCGTAGATTCCTAAAATACAAATTTCAGATTGCCGCAAATTAAAGTCCCTGCTACAGGGACCTTGAAATAGAATATAACCTAAGATTCAAACAGCCTAAGCCATAATGTTAAGTCTCGACATTTTTTTCGATTACACAACCCGACCGGAAAAACTGACTTTTTCATAGCTGGAAACGGCCTGACTATGCAAGAATAAGGCATCAGCATAAACACTAGTGATCGCAGATTCCTAAAATACAATTTTCGGATTGCCGCAAATTCAAGGCTCTGCTACACGGGTCTTGAAATAGAATAGAACCAAAGGCTCAAAACCATAGGCGTACGGGCTTAGAAATTTAGGGGGGGGACGGATGTCAATTTGCCCGACGAGCGCCGAAGGCGCGAGAACTGCCAGGGGCCCCCCGGGAAATTTTGAAAAGTAGAGCCTTTAAAATGCCATTTCCTTCGTTTTGGGGGGAGATTATGTGAGGATCGAAGGAAAAATTAATGAAACAAGACCAAGTCTGATGACTATTTTACTTAAATGTAACTTTTACCGAAAACCTAACCTAATCTCCACTGCAAGTTTACTGTCAAAAGAAATATGAGACACGGTGAGTTCGTTGGCCAAAAACATGAATGATTCTGTCCATATCATTCTCGAGCAGTGTTCTATTAGTATACGCTCGTCCCATACAGAGAAGAGAAATTTTGACCCATTGTGGAATGAACGTACGTCTTCACCCTTCGTTACCCACTGAAAGATCTTTCTGCAGAACGTGATGTAGTTGGAATCGTTGTCAAGATGGAACTTCCTTTGTAGAAGACTGGAGTCCATCCCTTGAAATGCCAGTGCATGTATATGCATGAGTACCGTACATTTCGCGTATCTCTAGCGTATTCAGCCTGTGCCTGGAGTAAGCTTATCGTATAAACTATACGTCCGAATACGCACAAAATTTTTAAGCATGTTTAAAAAAGGTTTCTGTCTCGCCGGGCCTCGCCGTATGCCAGCGTAGACCACCGTATGCGACCGTGCTTGAAACGTATGTCAGCGTATGAGTGATATTTTTCATACGCTGACATACCCTAGCAGTCTTTCATAACTACAAGGTGAACAACGTTGTTACAATTAACGATTACAATATATGATTTTCTTTAAAATGATTAAGTCTCTTCACAATTCGTTGGGAGTAATGTCTGTTTAGCGCTAGTTAGCGCTCGCGCCAGCCAGTTATGGCATATAGCCAGTGGCGCGAATGGAAAAGCATGTTTATTTTAATTATTTTTATCACCTTTATGCAAGTATATATCCTAGTTTGTTTTTAAATATTTTTCGCATTTTACTATTAATAACATTTGTTTGTTGGAAAGACCAATTTGATTTCAAGTTCACAGGAAGATTGCGCGACTCTTAAGTACAAATTGCCCGACTAATTAATATTTCTGACTAAACTGGGGGGCTGCCGCCCCCCAGCCCCCCTCCCGCCTCGTACGCCTATACTCAAAACAGCATAATATTAAGTCTCCAATTCCATTCGATTACACACCTGGGATGGTTATCTCATTCTTTTTTAATGCGCATAAACGACCTGGCTATGCAAAAACAAGGTATCGACAGAAAGCCTGTTAACCGTACATTACTATAATACAAATTTTAGATTGCCGCAAATTAAAGTTTTTGCTACAAGAGCCCTAAACTGCTATAGAACGTAAACCGGAAGTGGAAACACCAAAGCAAAATGCCGGACGTGTTTTTCTTTTTAACTCCGCATTTTTGAAATAAATAAACGTTGTTTAACTCTTTTCAACAAGGTTTTCGAGCAAGTTATAGTTGTTCATAGTTGGAACATGACTCAGTGTTGCCGCTGTAACGGAAATGGGACATGTAGATCGTGTATTTGTGGTAGGAACAACCGAGTTTGCACAAATTGTAAGCCAGGGAAAGATAAACGTTGTGAAAATCAAAATCAATGCAAATAGGGAATTTGCCAAGCTTACTTCAAGATTGATAAACATCGCACGTTAACCAACACCAAGAACCCGAAAGCGATGAAAATGAAGTACTAATTTCAGAACACACACCAGATTATATCCCAATGCAGTCTCCAGTGTTTCGATGGGGTGAAGTCGAAGGCGAAGCATTTGCTCAAGCTATCCAAGAAAGCCACAGTATAAAGAAGTGGTTCATTGGAGACGAAACTTGTTTAAAACTCCATCTGGCCAGGCTGGTAAATCCTTTGTGCGCGAGCTTACTCGAATGTTTCGAGTTTATGCTGATATATCGTCACTTGAGAGTGTGGCTTTAAATTAACAGCCACAATGGTTATTCTTCCACAATGGCCTGCTCTTTTACTCCAGAAACCACATCCCAAATCTAAGGCAAAAGAGCATACTTTGCATTTAAATCGTAGACTTAAGCAATGGATGGATGGGAATATCAATGGTCTGCTAGATGAGGATCTTGCTATCCAAAAACGCTTAGTCAGACAATCTGAGCAGCGGTCATCTGATGATACTGCGCGAGTTTTCGCAAAGTTGATAATGCAGGATAAAGTAAGAGCAGCACTTCGGATAATATCGGAAGACAATGGAGAATGTCTGACCTGTGATAGCTGTGTTGCCCCTGACAATCCCAAGATCGTCAGACAAGTCCTGTTAGAGAAGCATCCACCTAATATACCACCTGTTCAATCGGCGATACTTAATGGGGATTGCAACATGGAACCACACCCAGTTATTTTTTATGGGATTGACGGAGCGTTGATACAGAATACGGCCATTAAAACAGAAGGAGCCGCATGGCCATCTGGTCTTGATGCAATGGCCTGGCGACGACTCTGTACATCTTTTAAATCATGTTCAGTTGGTCTATGTGATTGATGCTTTAGCCGGAGTTGCTAGAAGAATCTGCACTACTCTTGTTGATCCATCAAGTTTAACATCATTTGTTGGTAGTCGCTTGATTGCGCTTGATAAATGCCCTGGAGTACGTCCGGTCGGAATTGGTGAGATGGCTCGGCGTATTATTGGTAAAGCGATTGTCAGTGTGTTTGGCAACGAGATTCAAGAAGCCATGTGCTGGACATCTATCCGGTTGTGAGGCAACTGTTCACGCTATACATCAAGTGTTTGAAGATAAGGATGCGGATGGTGTTATTCTTGTGGATGCCACCAATGCTTTTAACTGCTTAAACCATCAAACAGCCTTAATTAATATCAAGCATCTTTGCCCAGCACTATCGAAGGTATTCACAAATACCTACAGGGAACACATTCCATTGTTCATAGGCGGAGAACTAATTTATTCGCAAGAGGGCACTACACAAGGAGATTCCCCTGCAATGGCAATGTACGCTGTTGCTATTACAACACTGCTGCCATTTTTTGACGTCAAGGTGTTCAACCCTTTCGCACCAAGCTAACGAAACACCTCCCTCTCTAAATGCTATCGTAAGAATGAACTGGAGAAAAGAAGAGCATACGAAGAAAGAATTAGAGAAGTAGAACACAGGTCATTTTCTCCGCTGGTCTTCTCGACAGCGGGTGGTATGGGTGCCACTGCAAACGTGGTGAGTCTACAAGAGAATAGCATCCTTGATCGCTGAAAAACACGACAAGTCATATAGCAAGACAATAAACTGTCTTAGGTGCCGACTTAGCTTTTCATTGTTACGATCAGCGATAATGTGCCTACGAGGATGCAGATCTTCTCGCCACAATCCAATTAATTCCTTTGGTGGGGAGATTGAACTAGCTCTATTTGAAGGTCGTGTATCTTGCTGAACAAAATTTAAACTGTAATTGTATAGGAACATATGAATTCGTTGGGAAAACAAAATAATAAACAGATGCAACTAATCGTTTAACTTTAAACATTCTTTTTATTGTAACTATAATTTTAATGTGTATTTTTAATAAAAGTTCTAAAATAAAAAAAATAATAAATAAATAGAACGTAACATTCAAACCAGCATAATATTAAGATCTGCATGATTATGCAAGAATAAGGCATCAGCAGAAAGTCCAGTTATCGTAGATTCTTTTTTAAAATACAATTCTCAGATTGGAGCAAATTCAAGTCTCTGCTACAGGGTCCTTGAAATGCAATAAAACGTAAATTAGTCTCAAACCTGCTTTTCCATAGTCGGAAACGGCCTGATTATGCATCAGTAAGGCATCAGTAGAAAGTCTAGTGATAGTAGATTTCCAGATTGGCGCAAATTCAAGTCTCTGCTACAGGAGCCTTGAAATAGAATAGAACCTAAGATTCAAAACAGCATAATATTAAGTTTCGATTTTTTTTTCGATTACACGCCCGTAAAAGCCTGCTTTTTCATTGCCGGAAACGGTCTGACTGTGCAAGAATAAGACATCGATAGAAAGTCTAGTAATTGTAGATTCCTACAAAATACAATTTTCAGATTCCCGCATATTCATGCAAGTCTCTGCTACAGGGGCCTTGAAATAGAATAGAACCTAACATTCAAATCAACAGAATAATTCTCAAGTCTCAAATTATTTTTCGTTTACACACCCGGAAAAAGCCTGCTTTTTCATAACCGGAAACGGCCTGACCATGCAAGAGTAAGGCATTAGCAGAAAGCCTACTCATCATAGATTCCTAAAATACAATTTTTAGATTGGCTCAAATTCAAGTCTCTGCTACAGGGGCCTTGAATAGAATAGACTGTCCTAATATTCAAAACAATATTAAGTCTCAAATTGTTTTTCGATTACATACCCGGAAAGACCTGCTTTTTCATTGCCGTAAGCGGTCTGACTATATGCCAGAGTAAGGCATCAACAAAAAGTCTAGTGATCGTAGATACCTAAAAAGTACAATTTTCAGATCGGCGCAAACTCACGTCTCTGCTACAGGGGCCTTGAAATAGAATAGAACGTAAGATTCAAACCAGCATAATATTAAATCTCAAATTTCTGTTCGATTACACAACCAGGAAAACATGCTTTTTCATAGCCTGAAACGGCCTGGTTATGCAAGAATAAGGCATCAGCAGAAAGCCCAGTGTTCGTAGATTCCTAAAATACAATTTTCAGATTGGAGAAAATTCACGTCTCTGCTACAGGGGCCTTGAAATGCAATAAAACATAAGATTCAAACCAGCATATTAAGTCTCAAATATTTGTTCGATTACTCAAGCGGAAAAACTGCTTTTCATAGCCTGAAACGGCCTGATTATGCAAGAATAAGGCATCAGCAGAAATTCCGGTGATCGTAGATTCCTAAAATACAATTTTCAGATATCTAAGTCTCTGCTACAGGATCCTTGAAATGCAATAGAACGTAAGTTTCGAACCAGTATAACATTAAATCTCAATTTTTTTTCGATTACACTTCCAGAAAAACATGCTTTTTCATAGCCGGAAACGACCTGACTATACAAAAACAAGGCATCGACAGAAAGCCTATTGACCGTACATTTCTATCATGGAAATTTCAGATTGACGCAAATTCACGTTTCTGCTACAGGGGCCTTGAAATGCACTAGAACGTAAGATTCAAACAAGCATAATATTATGTCTCAAATTTGTTTTTGAATACACACCCGGAAAAGCTGCTTTTTCATAGCCGGAAACGGCCTGCCTATGCAAGAGTAAGGCATCAACAGAAATCCTACTGATCGTAGATTCCTAAAATACAAGTTTCAGATTGGTGCAAATTCAAGTCTGTGCTACAGGGGTCTTGAATTTTTATTCGATAACACGCCCGGAACAACCTGCTTTTTGAAAGCCGGAATCGGCCTGACTATGCATGAATAAGGCATCACCGGAAAGCCTAGTGATCCTGAGTTCCTAGAATACAATTTTCAGATTGGCGCAAATTCAGGTGTCTGCTACAGGGGCCCTGAAATAGAACAGAACGTAAGATTCAAACCTGCATAATATAATTCTCCAATTTTATTCGATTATAGACCTGGGATAACCTTCTTTTTTACTCTGTGCTTTTCGAAGGCATATCGTCCATATATTTCTCTTTCGACACAGCTTTAAATAATTAATTGTTTAAAATCATGTTCTATACAAATAATTTTTTTTTAAATTATAAAGTTGGCGTCATTTTTAAAAAAAAAATTGTGTATAACATGATTTTAATAAATTAATTATTTAAAATGTGTCGAAAGAGAAATATAGACGCTATGTCTTCTTGTCAACCTCTTGCCTTGCTTCAACTGGATAAATTTCCCAAATACCTTTTTAGATGCGCAGAAACAACCTGACAAAACAACAATCAGATTGCTGCAAATTCAGGTTTCTGCTACAGGGGCCTTGAAGTACAATAGAACGTAAAATTCATAATATTAAGTCTCAAATTTCTTTTCGATTACATACCTGGGAAAACCTGCTTTTTCATGGCTGGAAATGGCCTGACTATGCAAGAATAAAGAAGCATCGACAGAAAGCCTAGTGATTGTAGATTAGTAAAATACAGTACAATTTTCAGATTGTCGCAAATTCAAGTCTTTGCTACACTGGGGGCATTAATAATAATAATAATAATAATAAATGGTTTATTCACATATCTTGGCATTAATACAATGAATTATGATATGTTTACATAAATTCAATAAATTATCTAAAATATTAAAATCTATATATAATATATAACTAAAATATATATATATAATATACAACTAATTAAACTATCATTGAAGTTTGTTCATTAACTCAAAGCACATTGCTGGAATAAAACTATTTTTGTATCTATTAGTACGACACTTTGGCAGAGACAGACAGTCCTTATTACGCAAAGTCCGTCCGTGTGCGGCCACCCGTGTTGGTGGCAGAAGGTGGTTCAGTCGGTTGTTGGGTTTAGCAATCTTCTCAAAGGTTTTCGTACACAAATCGTGTCTCCTAGTGTCTAAGCGAGGGATTTGGGCTATTTGGAGTGCGTCGATATAACGCAGACCTGGGTATAATACACGCAAGGCACGCTTCTGAACATGTTCAATATTGTTTGAAAGATAATTTGGGAGGCTCGTATGCCAAACTGTGCATGCGTACTCTAGGACTGAACGTACCAGGGCAATGAAAACTGGCAGCAGGTCAGCCGATGGAACGCCACTTCTTCGCAATATGCGCAAAATGTACAGGCGCTTAGAAGCTTTCTTCACGAGAATGTTGACATTATCATTCCACTTCAGATGGTCATTAAAGGTGACACCAAGTACTTTAAATGATGATACGATACTGAGTGGATTCCCGTTGATATGCAGGGAGACAATGTTTGGACTTTGTCTTAAAAAGCTAATCACCATTTCTTTGCATTTCTTAACATTCAAACGCATGTCATTCTGCTCTGCCCATTGTTGTATTTCATCTAGGTCAGATTGTAATGTCGATTGGTCACGAATAGATAGAGATTCAGAAAGAGTAAGATCGTCAACATATTTCCAGTGACTTGTATGTGGAGACTTTAGTTCTAGATCGTTAATCATAACAAGAAATAATATCGGTCCCAGCTTAGTTCCTTGTGGGACACCTCCGTTAACACTTCCCCATGCTGACTGAAATCCACCAATTTTAACTAGTTGACGACGATTAGAAAGAAAGTCACAGATCCATGGAATAATGCATCTTCTAACGCCAAGTAATATTAGTTTTCCAATGAGGATGTTGTGATTTATCCGGTCAAACGCCTTACTGAAGTCTAAAAAGCATACTCTAAGATAGTGCGAGGGGGCGTCAAGGGTACGCAGCCAATTATTTACCATATCAATCAAACAAAAACTTGCAGATGAACCCTTTAGACTGCCAAACTGCTTGGGGTCTATTTTGCTTCTGATATCATCCATCATCCATCTTACAACGAAGTCTTCG